AGAGAGAGAGAGAGAGAGAGAGAGAGAGAGAGAGAGAGAGAGAGAGAGAGAGAGAGAGAGAGAGAGATGAAGAAAAGAAGGAAATGGAAGGAAAGGAGGGAGGGAGGGAGGGAGAGAGAAAAAGAAAGAAGGAAAGAAAAAGAAAGAAAGAAAGGAAGGAAGATAGAAAGAAAGAAGTAGAAAGAAAGAGAAAGAAAGAAAGAAAGAAGAAAAGAAGGAAATGGAGGAAGGAAAGAATGGAGGGAGGGAGAAAAAGATAGAAAGAAGGAAAGAAAGGAAGGAAGGAAAAACACTAACAGGGTTTTACTGATAAACAGCTAGAGAAAAAAATATCACAAAATCCAAAGACCTGCAAAATAGAAGGACGGTGGCAAAAACAAGGAAAGGCCGTCCCAACAGCCTTGGGTGCAGTCCCAAAACATCTGGAGCAGCTCTTGAACACCGTTGGGAGGGGCGTTGACAAACCCACCCTCAGTCAATTACAAAAGTCAGCTTGACTTGGACCAGCTGACCTCAGGGGGGGGGTGTCTCCAAAATTGGCAACTTTAAGACTTGGGGACTTCAACTCCCAGTGTTCTCCAGCCAGGCAAGTCTGGAAGTTGGACCCCTGGCTTAGATCCTGTAAAGATGATAACAATAATAATAGAGTTGGAAGGGACCTTGGAGGTCTTCTAGTCCAACCCCCTGCTCAGGCAGGAAACCCTATACCACTTCAGACAAATGGCTGTCCAGCCTCTTCTTAAAAACTTCCAGTGTTAGATGCTTCTAACTCCATCAAACGACCACATCTGCCTATCCCAGATGTTTGGGAAGGACTCCAGAGGTGGACAAAAAAAGCCAAACCCAGCCTGAACATCTGGCTGACTGTGCAACGAAACCATCATAATAAGCATCAAGGCATTGACAAATTCCCCACCAGTCAATTGCAAAAGGCAGCCTGACTCCGAACAGCTTACAGCCTGCAACGGTACTTCTAAGCCCACCAAACAACCACATCTGCCTATCCCAGGATCCTTGGGATAGTATCTTAGCCTAGTCGTGCAATTCCCACGGAATTCTGGGAGCTGAAGTCCAAGCTGAAAGTTGCCGAGGTTGAGAAATTCTGCCTTATGCGAAATTCTCATATGGATCTCTGCAACATCACCCCGGGCAGAAGAAGCACAACAATTAACACTAGTTCAGGGGTAGGCAACCTTGGCTCTTTTATGACTCGTGGACTTCAACTCCCAGAATTCCTCAGCCAGCTATGCTGGCTCAGGAATTCTGGGAGTTGAAGTCCACGAGTCATAAAAGAGCCAAGGTTGCCTATCCCTGCACTAGTTAGCATCAGACACCTGGTGGAGTTCACACCCCAGGGAACCCAAAAGCCCATCATTCCCCAACCTAGCCTGTATATGAGGTTGCAACTTCTGTCGGTCTCTTGAGAGTTTGAGGAATTATGGAAGTTGTAGTTCAACAGTTGGAGGGGCCAACAGCGCCACCTGCCTGTGGTTTTGAGTTTTCCTTCTCAAGCTGCCCCACCCTCTTGGTTGTTAAGTTTTCATCTTTTAATTCTCATTTTGGGTTTTTTTTTAAGCACTTTTAAACTTTATATTACATGGCACGGCATCCGGAGTCACTGTCTCAGTGAGATGAGTGGCATAGAAATTTAATAGACAAATCGTAAATATTAGCCGGGTAGGGCTATATAGAGAAACAGTCATTTTTTCACGTGGAAGTACGTGACTTATTTCTAAATTTGATTTTTATGTCTGCGGGTTATAAGCGGCCCCATTTGCAAAAATTCTGACGCTTGCAACCGAACTGTTTTTTTCGGCTCTCTTTTATCCTTTTGTTATTGGTTGTATCTTTTGTTCCAAATGTGGACACGGAAATTATATACGGTATTCCAGAGGCGGATGCATAATGCATTTACAGGAGGGCGTTGCTGGGCTGGCAATTTTGGCAGGATAACAGAGTTGGAAGGGACCGTGGAGGTGGAGGACTAACAGTGAGAAAGGAGAGTCGACGGGAGCTGAATCGCCTCTGTTCTTATTTATTTGTATCCCACCTTTATTATTTTTTTTTACAAATAAGGCAGTGAACCTCTCCAACATGTCTTCCTATTTTGCCCACAACGACAGCCCTGTGAGGTTGGTTGGGCTGAGAGAGAGTGACTGGCCCAAAGTCACCCAGCCGGTTTTCAGGCCTAAGGCAGAACTAGAACTCACAGCCTCCTGGTGATTGGCCCAAAGTCACCCAGCCGGCTTTCAGGGTTAAGGCAGAACTAGAACTCACAGCCTCCTGGTGATTGGCCCAAAGTCACCCAGCCAGTTTTCAGGCCTAAGGCAGAACTAGAACTCACAGTCTTCTGCTGATTGGCACAAAGTTACCCAGACGGCTTTCAGGCCTAAGGCAGAACTAGAACTCACAGCCTCCTGGTGATTGGCCCAAAGTCAGCCAGCCGGCTTTCAGGCCTAAGGCAGGACTAGAACTCACGGCCTCCTGGTGATTGGCCCAAAGTTACCCAGCCAGCTTTCAGGCCTAAGGCAGGACTAGAACTCTCCGTCTCCTGGTGTTTGGCCTAAACTCGCCCAGCCTGCTTTTGTGCCTAAGGCAGAACTAGAACTCACAGTCTCCTGGTGATTGGTCCAAAGTCATCCAGCTGGTTTTCAGGTCTAAGGGAAAACTAGAACTCACGGCCTCCTGGTGATTGGTCCAAAGTCAGCCAGCTGGCTTTCAGGGTTAAGGCAAAACTAGAACTCACGGCCTCCTGGTGATTGGCCCAAAGTCACCCAGCCGGCTTTCAGGCCTAAGGCAGGACTAGAACTCACGATCTCCTGGTGATTGGCCCAAAGTCACCCAGCTGGCGTTCCTGGCTAAGACAGGACTACAATTCACAGTCTCTGGTTTTCTAGCGTGGTGCTTGGTTCTCGTTTAGAAACAAAAAACAAAAATGGTTGAATTTGGATTTGAACACGTCGCACGGGTGGAGAGGGAGACGAAGAGAGTCTTGGGGGCAAGGATGGAGTCAAGATTCGAAAGGCCTTCAGACAGATAGAACTTTCCCCCCCCCCCTTTGTCCAGCCTGATCAGCCCAGGTTTGGCCCGCTTGCGCACCCATCTGCAGGTCCTCTCCGTAGGTTCACAAGCTGCTTGTGCGATTGGACTCTGGCGCAGCCTCTTTCGGAGCAGCGTCGGCCTTCCAGGGCAGCCTTCGATAGGAGAAGCAGGACCGTCCAGCCGGAGGCGTTTCGGGGTTCTCTGCATTCAGCTGTGGAAAGAGCAAGAAAGCTAGTCAGAAGGAGAACCTCAAGCGTCTATTTCAGGGGGAGGCAACCTTGGCTCTTTTATGACTGATGGACTTCAACTCCCAGAATTCCTGAGCCAGCCATGCTGAGGGGAAAGGGAGAGGTTTCCATGCTGAGCCATGCTGGCTCAGGAATTCTGGGAGTTGAAGTCCACCAGTCATCAAGGGAGCCATAGTTTCCCCCATGCTGGCTCAGGAATTCTGGGAGTTGAAGTCCACGAGTCATAAAAGAGCCAAGGTTGCCTACCCCTGGTCTACTTGAACCAAAGAAAGCTTTTCTGATGCCAGAGCAAACACCGGGGGAGGGAGCTGGTCACTGTGTCTCTGTATGAACAACTGCTCTGGTCTTAGAATAGAATAGAGCTGGAAGGGACCGTGGAGGTCTTCTAGTCCAACCGCCCTGCTCAAGCAGGAGACCCTAGACATCTCAGGCAAGTGACTGTCCAGTCTCTTCTTAAAAACCTCCAGTGATGGAGCGCCCACAACTTCTGGAGGCAGGCTGTTCCACTGGTTAATTGTTCTCACTGTCAGGAAATTTCTCCTTAGTTCTAATTTGCTTCTGAATAGAATAGAATAGAATAGAATAGAATGGAACCTTGGAGGTCTTCTAGTCCAGCCCCCCACTCAAGCAGGAGACCCTATACCATTTCAGACAAGGGACTGTCCAGTCTCTTCTTAAAAACCTCCAGTGATGGAGCACCCACAACTTCTGGAGGTTCCACTGGTTAATTGTTCTCACTGTCAGGAAAGTTCTAGGTTGCTTCTCTCCTTGATTCCTTTCCATCCATTGTTTCTCTTCCACCCTCCTACATGAAGTGCAACCCATTTTGGACACCATACTACAAAAAAAAGTTCAGAGAAGAGCAACTAAGAGGATCCAAGGCCTGGAGACTAAAACATATGAAGAACGGCTGTGGGACTTGGGTTTGGCTAGTGACTAGTCTAAAGAAAAGGAGAAATAGGGGAGACATGATAGCAGTATTCCAGTATTTGAGGGGGTGCCACAAAGAAGAGGGCATCAAACTATTCACCAACTATTCACCAGGACAAGAAACAATGGTTGGAAACTGATTGAAGAGAGAAGCAACCTGGAATTAAGGAGAAACTTCCTAACAGTGAGGACAATTAACCAGTGGAACAGCTCGCCTCCAGAAATCGTGGGCGCTCCATTACTGGAGGTCTCTTCTCTTCTTAGAAACTGAACAGCCACTTGTCTGGAATGGTATAGGCCTTCATGCTTGAGCAAGAGGTTAGACTAGAAGACCTCCAAGGTCCCTTCTGAGTCTGTTATTCTGTTGTTCTGTTTGTCACTCTAACTGGGTGTTCTACAAACTCTGAACAAGCCAATACTGAGAAGGAGGCTCTGCCAGCTTTAATTTCATCACCGGGGCCACCACCTGGATCACCTCTTGACCCCTGGAAACTAGCTATGGGAAGGCAGCTGTTGTGTTGATGGAGAGGCTGCCCCAGTTTTGAGTCCGGAGGTATCTTTCCCAGCCTGTAATTTGAGATGGATCTAGAGGCCTCGTCCTTCAAGGCTTTGGTTTTTCTGACCACTGTGGACCTTTTGTGGGTATCTGAGAATTTGAACCAGGAGGTCCTCAGATTCCAGAGGTAACGTGATATCTGGGACACCTTGGCCACCATTCCCTGGTTATGGATATCCAGGGACTTCTAGCTGGCTGTCAAGGCAACTGCTGATGGTTGGATGAATGGATGGATGGATGGATGGATTTTGAAGACCATCCAGTTCCTACTTTGGGCGTCTTCTATTCTTACGTTCTCCTGGCCAAACAAGCTTGCCAGCCTTTTCAAGGAGGCTGTGTTTTGTCTGCTCAAGATTTCTAGGCCTAAACAGTGACCTTGGGTGCCCAACATCTCCCCACCCCACTGATGATGGATCACATCTTCTGAAATCCTTGGCTGATAGGATAGCCGTATTGCCCTGGAGAGGCTAGGAGAAATTAAATGTTCAGACTCTATATTAAAATCTGGCCCACTTCCTTCCGAATGGCCTTCTTCTCTTTTTGAAGCCTGGTGGCCTTCAACCCTGTTGCAACCATTTCTTCTTAGTATAAAAGCAAAAATGGTCAGGAAGCTCTTCCAGATCCAAGCTCTAAGCAGGATTTCTCCCCAGCCGCGGGACGGACCTGGATCACGTCTTCTCTGTTTTCGGCCTGCTGCACCTCCTCCTTGCTCCTCTTCTCTTTCGTCCACGTTACCCATTTCTGGTATATCCTGCAAAAGATTTATGGGTGAGACGGCACCTTCAGCTACCACCCAGCTGCCAACTCGGATGGTTTCGTCCTGCGAGAATGGGAGACCCCTAAGGACAGATCGGGCCACCAGGTCAGCTAATGAAGAGTCCTCCAAACGAACGTGAATTTGGGCAAACTCCAGGAGACACTGGAGGATGGGGGGGCTGGTCTACTGTGGTCCATGGGGGTCCTTCTCCTAAGGTAGGGAGTCTCCAAACTTAGGCAACTTTAAAACTTGTGGACCAACTCCCCAGCAATGCTGGCTGGCAAATTCTGGGAATAGAATACAGTAGAGTAGAGTAGAGTAGAGTAGAGTAGAGTAGAGTAGAGTAGAGTAGAGTAGAGTAGAGTAGAATATAGAATATAGAATATAGAATATAGAGTAGAGTAGAGTAGAGTAGGGTAGGGTAGAGTAGAATAGAGTAGAATAGGATAGGATACGATAGGATACGATAGGATACAATAGGATATAGAATAGAATATAGAACAGAACAGAACAGAACAGAATAGAATAGAATGGAAATAGAATAGAATAGAATAGAATAGAATAGAATAGAATAGAATAGAATAGAATAAGAATAGAATAAGAATAGAATAGAATAAGAATAAGAATAAGAATAAGAATAGAATAGAATAGAATAGAATAGAATAGAATAGAATAGAATAGAATAGAATAGAATAGCTGGAAGGGACCTTGGAGGTCTTCTAGTCCAACCCCCTGCTCAAGCAGGAGACCCTACAGCATTTCCAACATTAACCAAACCCATTATGGTTATGGGCTAGTTTTTGGCAGAAACCGATTTCTGGGGGGGGGGAAGTCATATATATCTCAGTCACGTGACGAGGAGACATCGCAAACCTCCATAAATGCAGGTCACATGACTCGGGGAGAAGCCCTGGGAATTTCAGAACTGGTTCATAAGTACCTTCATGGTGGGGGGATGTCTGTTGTAACTTGGAATAGTAGCTGAACAACTGGCTGTAATTCGAGGACTAACTCTATGGGTCTAGCTAACCTGTCAGGCTAAAGGGGAGCTTGGGAGGGACTCTGCCCCACTCCTCAAAGACCCCTGGCCGAGTCTCACCGGGAGCTGTTGTTACGCAATCCAAGGATCAGGCCCCCCAGAGCAGCTATGCAGATCAAGGCAGTGGCGATCCCAGCCCAGATCTTGAAGATGGTCAATTCAGAGAGGCCTGCAGGAAAAGAAGAAGAAGAGACACGGGGTCTTTAACAGAGTAAGAGAGCTGGAAGGGACCTCGGAGGTCTTCTAGTCCAGCCTCCTGCTCAGGCAGGAGACCCTATACCATTTCAGACAAATGGCTGTCCAGTCTCTTCTTAAAAACCTCCAGTGTTGGAGCATTCACAGCTTCTGGAGGCAGGTTGTTCCACTGGTTAATTGTTCTCGCTGTCAGGAAGTTTCTCCTTAGTTCTAAGATGCTTCTCTCCTTCATTAGTTTCCATCCAGTTGCTTCTTCTCCTGCATTCAGGTGCTCTGGAGAATAGCTTGACTCCCTCTTCTTTGGGGCAGCCCCTGAGACACTGGAATACTGCTATCCTGTCCCCCCTCGTCCTTCTCTTCATTAAACTAGACCTACCCAATTCCAGCAACCGTTCCTTCTATGTTTTAGCCTCCAGTCCCCTGATCATCTTTGTTGCTCTTCTCTGCACTCTTTCTAGAGCCTCAGCATCTTTTTTACATCGTGGTGACCAAAACTGGATGCGGGATTCCAGGTGTGGCCTTACTAAGGCCTTGTAAAGTGGTATTAACACTTCACGTGATCTTGATTTTCTCCCTCTGTTAATGCAGCCCAGCACTGTGTTGGCTTTTTTGACAGCTGCAGCACACGGCTGGCTCCTATTTAAGGGATCGTCCACTAGGACTCCGAGGTCCCTCTCACAGTTACTACTATTGAGCAAGGTACCCCCTATACTATACCTGTACATTTGGTTTTTCTTGCCTAAATGTAGAACCTTACTTTTCTCACCATTGAATTTCATTTTGTTAGATAGCGCCCAGTGTTCGAGTCTGTCCAGATCCTCCTGTATCCTAAGCCTGTCTTCTGGAGTGTTGGCTATTCCTGCCAGCTTGGTGTCGTCTGCAAATCTGATGAGTTCCCCATCTATCCCCTCGCCCAGATCGTTGACGAAGATGTTGAAGAGCACTGGGCCCAGAACAGAGCCCTGGAGCACCCTACTACACACTTCCCTTAAAGTTCTTCCAAGTTCACTAAGCGAACGGCTGTAAGTCAGGGACTCCCTGTGTGCATCAGCTCAACCGGCATTGACCCAGCTGTTGAGTCTAGAAGTGGAAATCTACTTCTCCAGAAGTTGCAAATGGGAGCAGTCCAATCCACGATACATCTTCAGCTCTGAACCCTCCCCTTGTCTTCATCCTGTCTCTCTAGGGCGGGGGTCCCCAACCTATGGGGCACCGCCCGCTACCAGGCTGGATGAGTGGCTGGGCAGCGTACACGCACGTGTGCGCGTGCACACCCTCCTCCACTCGCGCTGGCATCGCAGCAAGTGCTGCGCGGGCGCTAGCGATGTGGCGAGAGTCGCACTCGCGGCCCCGTTTGCGTCACACTCGGCGCTCCTGTTGTGTGCGCGCTCGCACAGGCGCCTCCCTCCCTCCCCCCTCCCCCAGGCCACCAACCGAGAGAGGTTGGGGAAGTCTCCTCTAGGGAGTCCACTTACATCTCGCATTGAAGGTGATGCTGCTGGTCGCGTTGCCCAGTGTGTTGCGAGCTTGACACACAAAATGCCCCGAATCTTTGGCAGTGAGGTCCTGAATCTCCAGCCTCAGGCTGTTATCAGAGTAGAAGGTGTGGAAACGCTGACTGGCTGGTGACCAGCTTTTGGGGTCAGCCAGTTGACCTCTGTATATGGCCAGGCTGGAAGATGGGTAGCTGTCCACTTTGCAGGTGACCATAGCCAGGTTCCCATTCTGAGTGTCCAGGTAAACCGTCAAGGAGGGCCGTTCTGGCGCATCTACGTTAATGAGAACATCAACGCTTCCTTGGTCAACAGCCAAAGACACGCGGAGATAAACAACGTTTACCCACCATTCCAATGAGACCAACCCCAAAAGCTAAAGGACCACAGCACCTTCTTCCAGCAATCAACACGTTGGCAGAGGTGAACACCAAGATTAACCCCGGATCAAAAATCAAGCAATAAAGAATAACCCAATCAAGGAATGATCCGCTCGGACAAACGATCAAAGGGTAAACAACAGCCTAATCAAGGAATCGCCAAGAACACGCCCACCAACACTGGCAGGGCAGGCCGCTAACCTATAAAATGAGAGCAAACCCCACTCCCTTCTAGCACTGATGATGTTACCTAGCTGGGTGATGAAATGTCTGTAAGAAAACCACCAAGCTCAGAGAGCACCAAGGACGCCGTGGTCTCTTTCCTCCTCCTCCTCCTCCTCCTCCTCCTCCTCCTCC